GCCGAGAAGGCGGACCTCGTCGATGAACGCCGTCTCGTCGCCCTTGTACTTGTGCACTTTCGTCCTCCCGGTGATCTCGTCAATGTACGCCGCGACGGGATCGCCAGTCTTGACCCTCGTCCCGATCCTGGGCAGACCGTCGACGTTGAGGAAATCCCTCCACTCGGAATCCTCCTTGACATCGCGTCCGAGGCCGAAATGCAGCGTCGGCGCGCCGCGGGAGGACGAGCCGGGCGTGTCCTTGAGGTCGAAAATGTCGGATTTGTACACCGTGCCGTAACCAAAGCCGCGCTCATGCGCAGACTTGTTGAGGATCATGGCGTCTTCCATGTCGTAGCCCGTGTAAGAGATGACGGCGACGACGGCGTTGGTGCCGTTGGGGAAGTTGTCAAAGCCGTAGTGGTCGTGCAGCTTGGGCCGGACCACGGGGGTTTGACCGGACTGGAGGCGGTACTGCGGGGCGTAAGCGAACGAAGCGAGCGCGACGACGACGACGGATCGACGACGACGGATCGACGACGACGGATCGCATTCCGTTGCATCTCCTCGTCGGAGCGACTACTCACCATCTTGTTGTCGGTACGCCTACTGATAGCCGTGGACGGCGTGCCCATCGACTGCTTTCCCATTTGGCACTGGGTACGTCAGCGATGCGTGTCGCGATGCGTCTTTGCGCGAGTCATCCCCCGCCACACTCGGTCGCAACGCCACCCACCTGGTACATGTTACGCGGACTCTGGTTAAAGTCGGAGAACGGGGTGAGATTCGCAATGACGCTGAGCATGCTCGTCGGGTCGAGCTCGACATGGGTCGAGACGCCCTTTTCAATCTCCTGCTTCGTGCACGCGACGTCCATGTACACCTGCTCGAACGTGCCCACGTGGTCGACCTTGCCGTTCTCGAGGTAGCGGACCGGGCGCATCATCCTCGCGCGGCTCGAGAAGAGGTACAGGCCGGGGTACTGCCCACCCTTCGTGATCGGCACATAGCCAATTTCCAGGTCGAGCGGGACGCGGTTGGTGCCTTCCGTCTTCCATTTCCGGAGCAAGTTGGCGAGGTGCTTGGACTTTGAAGGCGAGGCCCAGCCGATGATGCGCCCGTCGAGCTGGACGACGACCATGCGTGTGCCGTCGATGTGCGAGGCAAAGACCTGGGTCATGCCGTGCGAGGTGAGCAGGGACGGCACGTGCGAGACGTCGAGAGAGGACGTGATGAGCTTGCAGGTGTGGGAGAGGTGGTTGAGCAGGCCGCACGGGGAGCCGTCGGGCGTGTGCACGGGGCAGAGGAAGCCTGCGAAGTCAGGTGGTGCTAGCGAGATTGAACGTTCGACTCACCCCACGATTCGGGCAACAGCTTCCTGACGGTCGTCGTTTTCAGTTCCGCAAAGAACGCCCCGCGATGGATACACCGGAAGTGGCTGAGGTATCGGTAAAAGTTGAGCTTCTCCGCGACGATGGTGTATCCCGAGGTCTGCTGCAGGTCGAGACCGGTCGGGGAGACGAGGTTGCCCGTGGCGAGAAAGTAGGCGAGTTTGGCGCCAATGTCCCAATTCACTTTGGACAGCACCGAGGGGAAGTACCGGGCTGCGGCGGCGTCACGTATCAGCACGGAGCGGGTCCACGACGACGAAACACGCCACGAATACCGCCGCTCACCACTCGTAAACTCCCTCGCCTTGTTCTGCCTCACATCCAGCTGCACCTGCGCCCTCACCGCGTTGAGACAGTCCTCGAGCCGTTCCTTGATGATCATCCCGTAGAGGAAACCGGGGAGAAGCACCTCGTGGTGCTGCGGCGAGTCCGGGTTGTCGGCGCAGGTGGACCCGGAGACGAGGGCGTAGAGCTTGCGGAGCATGAACCTTGCGTGGGGGGTCAGCGGGGAGCGAGCACGGGGGTTGGGGGAGGGGGCATGCCCCACGACGCGATGCGAGGTGACGGGACACGACCTATGTAGACTCTGATGGAAGGGAGTGTTCGCGACGACGCGGTGATGTGGGGGGATACAGAAAGGCAGACACCGATGACAGTACGGTTGCCGACATGGCGCCCGAGCCGAGTCCCTGGCCACTCACAGGAGCATGCGGAACTTGTCCCTGGGGTTCGGGAGGTGGACCAGAACCACTCTCTTGAGGAGGAACGCGCCCACCCCGATGTTGCTCATGTCCTCGGGGACGTTCAGGACGACTCTGAACTTTTCGCCGAGGTAATCGAGGCATTGCTGTCCGGTATGCAGTCCCCACGTCTTTTGCCCTCGGAGGAGGAGTTCCACTCGATCGGTGAGGAAGGTATTGTCGTATTCGCCCTGGACTAGACCTTCGAAGATCTCCTTGTCCGACGCGTCCACCAGCGCCTTGAGGATGAGCATGAGCGGGATCATGTACTCGACCTTGCGCCATGCGAATCGGATCGTCGCCCCGCCGTTGGAGAGGTAGTGGATCGTGTTGGTGCAGGCGGACTGGTCCGGTCGGACACATCGGATCTGGCACCCATACGGCGTGTACGACACACCGCGCTTGGCGAAACTGGGTCGGTACAGGTTCAACGGGTGGTGCCGGCGGGGCACGACGAGGTACCGGATGAGCTTCTCGTTGCCGTTGACGATGAAGTAGCCGCCAAACGAGGTGGACTCCTCGCCACGCTTGATCATCTCGGTGGAGGACATGCCGGCGAGGTGGCACCGCGCGGACTGGGGGTCAGCGGAGCGACCTCGAGCGAAGCGAAGAGGGCGAGAGACGCGAAGAGGGCGAGAGACAAGGATTCCGACACAATTGGATTGGATTTTTGGAGCCGGCAAAAATGAGAAGAAAACCTCGACCTCCCAGGGAGACGAGAATAGGGTTCATGGTGACTGAAGAAGAGGAGTGATGGAGACCAAACCAACGCGTCGTGCGACCCGACCCCGACTCGCGCACTCACCCGAACCATCACCGGCAAGAGCCCGCACTCCTTCGTCTCGAGATACTCCCTACTCTCCCCATCCTCCCCGGTCACCGTCCACGTGATGCTCGCGGTGAGTTTCGCGCGGTACGTCGTCAGTCGCTCCCGCGCCTCGGTGGGGAACATGCGTCGCTCGATCGCGAGCTTGTCCTTGTCGGGAACAAAGGGCTTGGCGAGGTTGACCGAGTTGATCTTGTCTGCGCGGGGTGAGCGAGAACGTCACGGAGTGGACTGGGTGTGGGTCCGACACCGCTCGACGACGTCTAGACCACGGAAAAGGAGCGGTTGTCATTCTCCTGTCAGAGGGATACGTCGATGCCACGCCATTCGATGCGTTGAATGCGCACTGGCAGTAGCTCCGGCGTGTCGCACTGGCAGCGGCTCCGGAAGCGACAACGGACCCAACTCGCTCACATCCCGCCGCTCGCGCTCGCTCAAACGACGACCAACCCCCTCGAACCCAGGCCATTCTAACCCGGCGCACTGGCACCACCGCCCACACCACCCAACCCCGTCGGGAGAGCTCGAGACCGCCATGTGCAACGCCACACTCCGACCGCACTCACAAGTAATCTTCGTGCCGAAGGGGGCTCCCTCCCGGGCCACCCCGTCAAACACCACCTTCTCCCCGATATCATCCACTCCCATCATCAGCAGCCCCTTCCCCCCGCGAGGGTCCTGCACGAGCGCATCGAAGCTCTCGATGTGCGGACGGACCAGCTCGTCCAGCGCCGGCACATCCGACAAGGATGGCTGCGAGGCCTCGCCCTCGCCCGAGCCATTCGCCGTGCTCGGAGCCGCCGGGGGGTGTCTGAACCGTCTCTCCCGGGAGAGCGTGTGGAACGTCGACTTGTCGCCGGTAGTAGGTCCGTAGAACTTTGGCTCGTCCTCGCCCAAAAGCGGGGAGGAGGGGGAAGGAGGAGAGGACGACGAGCTGGGGGAGGAGGACAGCGAGGGAGGAGACGAGGTGGATGCGAGGGTAGGGGAGAGCGGGTCGAACGGCATGTTGGTGGGAGGGGAGGAGGGTGATGGACGGGGTGGATTTGGATGCGCCCACCGGTAGGACGGGGCGGCGCCAGACCTAGCGATGGCGTGTAGGGCTGTTTGTCCTGGTGATACTCTCGCTCAGCCTCTCACGGCGAGTGCGAGGAGATTGGCGTGTGGTTGATTGCCGAGAAAGAGATGAGGAGCATAGCAACGACGAAACGACGAAATCTCAATGACAGAGATTCGGCCCGTCAACTTTTCGCCCGTGCCTGGATTCCGAATGTGGCACCTCCGGCCATTCCCTGTTTGCCCATATCGCGGTTCCCTTCTCCAAGTCCATCTCTTCCGGCCACTTTCTCACAGCTACTGCGCTTAGCCGTCGATGCTTTGCTCGATGGTGGGTGAGGTAAGGCTGTTTCTGATGAGGCTGTGGGAAGAGCTCGAGGTGCCGTGAGCGCGGACGTGACGGGCATATACTTGGGGCTTGTCGTTCATCAGTAGTAGTGAATTGGGCGACGCTATGCTTCCACGGCTCACTGAGGATCCTGCGCCGCAACACTGGCGACGGGGAGCCCGTATACCTGCAGATGGTGCCATTCGTTGCCATTGAGATAGCCTGGCGCCTGTCCAATAGCGTCATGTGTCGCCGCCCCGACGCAGCAAAACCTCATGCCACAAGAGTCACGAATGGCCTTTTTCGGCCCGACTCCCACAACCTACCGTCTGATGTTGCCTTTATCCGCTTGCGACGAGGTGCAAAGGGGAGGAAGAGGTCGACAGATGCCACCATGACCGTAGCCGTGCGAGGAACGTACGGCGTTGTGGCGGATTGCGGCGGTGCCATGGTGGTGAGTCCGACAGACCCTGGCGTACGTCCCTGGCGAGCTCTTCCCGGAGAACTCGCTACCTTGCGGCATACCCAAGGATGGCTCACAGCAAGGTCAGCGTGAATCAACAGGACAAAGGAACACCACCTGGACCACCGAAGTATCCGAACAAGACGGGTAGAGTCGGTAAGGATACGCGCGATGGTTGTCCTGCATTCATATATGTCGTTGACAACAGATTTTCTGTTTCGCCTCTATAGCTCAATTGGTCAGAGCATGTGACTTTTATTCCATTCCAATCCCAAGGTTGCGGGTTCGAGTCCCGCTAGAGGCTGAATGGCGGATGGCTCACGCGTTCACCTTGTCTTTTGTTTTTGGCATCTGACCTTGGGTGTGCCACAGCCACTAACCCCCGCTGCCGTATTTCGTTAGGGGCCTTCTGTATTGTGCAAGTGTGGTCGTAGTGGAGACAAGTCAGTGTGTAATTAGGATGTTGAGAGTTGTAAGTGACCATAGGCCAGAGGTCTCGCGTCGGTGGGCACCGCACATCTGGGCTTCAAGCGGTACCACAAGCCAGTGGAAGGGCCGATCCCTAAGTGGCATCGCGTACACAGCGGTACCACCTACCGCGCGACCAATTCGAGGGAAGCTACACTCACAGCCCCGACAGGGTCGGAGAACAGGATAGGGCTGACTTCTGAAGTCCGCGACTCCCTTTGAGCTCGCGAACCGGACGACAACGTGCCGCTTCGCGAACCGGCGACGACGTGCTGCTCATCCGGTACTAGGCGCCACAATCCATGAAACCTGAGGAGCCGGAGTGAGGCACCGCCGCGTAGGTGATCAGGCGCCAGCGGATTCCATGGTTTGGTCGAGGTCAAGAGTACTGGCATACAGCGGTACCCCGTTTCTTCCCCCGTTTCACTCCGGATCGGAGCCTGGAACGCGCAAGCGGTAGGGAGCGTGAATAGATGCCACCAAGTTTCCAGCGCCCCGGAGACTTGCTTTGTGCTCGGCAGGCTATCGTAGTCATTCTACAGCGGAGTGGAGTATCGTTAGGAAACGAGAGGCAGGTGTAGTATAGGACAGTATGGTGTCGATGCGTGGCCAGTGGTCCCGTTGGCCGCACACCGCGCACCTCGTTGAAGCGGCCACACGGGTCTACGTATGTAGTCGACGCTGGTCGAACTGGGTTTACGATCGATAGTGGAGTCAACACATGTATACAAGTGTTGCTGGACGGATACTACATGCTCCCTATCGAGGGTATGCATGCGCATACCCATTGATCAACCGTATTCTGCATTCTCCAATACGATCTGTGGCCACAGTGGACGCCCGCGGATGTGGCAGCGAGACCGAATTCGCCCGCGCGTGGAGCAGATGGTCATTTCCATTCTGCTCGCCATTCATTCCCCTTCAACCAACACTGACTCGGACCTCCATGATCTCTCCGGTCCCAGCTTGGAACTCCATCACACTGCCCAGAACTCGCACCTACCGAAAATAATAATATCAACGGGACCAAATTTCAAAGCCCGGCAGAACCCACCACGAGTGTGGCACTCCAGTTCGACCACCTCCCCTCACCCCTTCAGAGGATATCTGGTCCTGCTTTGATGTTATACACTTACCAAATCCCTCATTTTCATCGCAGGAAGCAGCCCGCCTAGCTCAGTCGGTAGAGCGGTGGGAAAGCCGGAAAATCTCGGCGTTACACAAATCCTTCCACTTTCCCACGGTGCCCCCCACCGACAGATTGGTCGGTGAAGGGGATAAGAGTGTTCCTACCCAGACATGGCAGCTGACCGATGCGATTCATTGAAGCCTAAATGCGTACAAGCCCTTGTCCCAATCTACGCTGTTCCACTGGACCGGAATGAACCTGACCCCTGACCTCAGCCTTGCCATTACATCGCCCCGCGTCACCCAGCCCATGAAAGCAAGGCGAGATCACCACGAATAGTCCCATCGCCGCGTTTCCCGATCACGTTCCCCAGACCCGCTACCGCTAGAACGTCGCCCCCTGAGCCTGCATCAACCCCCACGACCTGAGCTGCTCGCAAGACGGGCTCTTTTGTGCGCGGAGCTCCCTGATCTTGTCGTAGTTGGCTCCGATGCCAAAGAACCCGGCTTCCTGCGAGATCTGCTGTTGCTTCCTGCTGTTGAAATACTCGCACTGGTCCGGACGGTCAGCCAAGTGTCCCCCGTCAAAGAAACCCTTCAACCCACCTCGTTGCGGAGCTTCTGGATGTAATTCGTCTCCACCCCTCTCTCAAACGACCTGACCTTGTTGGAGTACATCGCCGCGTCCTTTTGTCCCCTCCTTGCCTCGGGGACGCTCTCCCAGAGATGACTCCCCTCCCATTCCGCCTTGTTGACATGGTATGGCACACCCCGGTGCCAGGTGTTCCGGGCGAGGTCGAAGCGGGAGGAGGAGTCCCAGGAGTATGACGGGTCGGGCGGGGGCGGCGTGGTGAACAAGGAAGGGATGACGGAGAGGAGAGCGAATGCGAAGAGGAGTATGATGGGGAGGAGAGCAACGATGGGCGAAGCGTTTTCACCTCCACCGGCCGCGGCCGCGCGACGTCGTGGTCCGCCGAATTGAGCTTGGAAGCCTCCAGGTCCGCCGAATGTGAACACTGCGTCGGCCCGTCAGCAATGGCGTCGGCGCCGCAATCCATGGTGCATGGGCCACTGACCATTGGCGTTCCCAAACTGTCCTCCAAACGGACTTCCACCTCCCATACCGCCGCCTGGTCGTATCAGCCGGGTCCCACCGCGTCGTCGCTGCCGCTTCGATGCCAGGGACTCACCAAAGAACGCATTGAACAGGTCCTCCGGGTTGACTTCGGTGTACATCCCGCCGTTCCCGAAACCCGGGTGCATTCCCCCGCCGCCCCGGCTCTGCACCCCGCCACCCCGTTGCGTAGGATCCGAGTTGGGGTTGGAGTCGAACGCAGCGCGGAGATTCGTGTCCGACAAGACCTGGAAGGCTTTGGAAACCACTGAGGGTGTAAGCGAGTTACTCCGGGCCAAGCATTCGAGGAGAATCGAAGCTCAAGCATTCGAGGAGAATCGAAACTCAAGCATTCGAGGAGAATCCAGGCTCACTCTTGAAGGCCTCGTCCGCTCCCGGTGCGCTGCTACGACACAGTCAGCCCGGGTTCGGGGTATCAGCCCCGAGACAGCTCGGCTCAGACCACGACACACTTCTTGTCAGGGTGCAGCGCCAGCGCAAGCTTCTTGTACGCTTTCTTGACGTCGTTCTCCGTACATGTGCGCTCCACTAGACCAATCAGCAACCTGCTCGCGACGCAATCCTCAACTCTGGGCGGCGCAAGCGCAAGTCGCATGGCCCTGCGCCAGTGTCGTCTTTTCGGCGTGCCCACTCACCCGCCAAGATTTCGTAATACTGGTGGTGCTGACACGTCTTGACCCTCTTGACCACCTCCATCTGCTTGACCATGTACTCCCTCTTCTTCCCCTTGTCTGATCCTGCCGCTGCGCCACTCCCCCCTCCTGCTCCCGCGGCAGTGGAACCGGATTTTGGCGCATGACCAGGTCTGGCATGCGCCGAGGTCATATGTTCCTCGACCCCACTTGCTGTTGCTCTGGACCTACTCCCGGCGCCGGACGGTCCTGCCTCCTCATTCGGTGTCGGGGCAGGGGACGAGCTCCCACTCGTACTCGTGCTTGTGCTCGATGACACCGTGATCTCCCGCTCGATGATGGTGACCAGCGCCTCGCCCTCGGGGGTGGAGAAGAGGGACACCGACTTCTTTGCGAATTTGAGTGCCGAGGGGAGATTGGAGGAGGAGCGATGTCGCTGGGCGATGGAGAGGCATCGTAGGGCTTCCTCCTTGTTCACCTCCATGACGGGCGTAAGGGTGCGAAAAGGAGAGGACGGAAGGGAATGGAGTAGCTGTGGAAAAGCCTGATCTGACTGCCTGCCTTGCGAAGTGGTCCAACGTGTTGGAAAGAGGATGACAGTGGTAGGTATGGTGTATCTCGAAAAGTCCCAATGGCGTCGCATGCGACAACGACAACGAAGGGCCGGGCCACGTTGAGCAGACCACGGAAGCAAAATCCACCGCCACATTGAGATATCGCCGGGGCAACGAGTCGCCACCCACTGCACCAGCTATCACTAACACTCATCATTCAGCAGGTAATCGTCGCATCCCATCCTTCTTTCTCCTCATCGCCATTATCGGCTGATTCGTGCACTACCTCTCGCAGCGTGACAGACACAAACGACGCCGACGCCCTCGCCATGTCATTTCAAACCGTTTTCATCTGCCTACCCTCCCCGCTATCTCCTCTCCACCTGACCCTCCCCCCTTCTCTACCGCTCTCCGACATCCCCCTCCCTCCTTCCCTATGCACCTCCCAGACCTATCTCCGCACCCCGTCCTCTCTGCCTCTCGACCCTTCCACGCGAATCAGCTCCCTGCGCCATGTGGACAACCCCGAGCACCCGATCCGGCTCGAGCTGGGCGTGCGACTTCTGGGCGGGAAGGGCGGTTTCGGTACCCAGCTCCGCGCTGCTGGTGGCCGGATGAGCGCGAGCAAGGCGACGAATGTGGATTCGTGCAGGGATCTATCGGGGAGAAGGCTGGGGACGATCAAGGAGGCACAGCGGTGAGTGAAGCGGATGCAATGGTATCACCTCGCGCCGTGCTTCGATATACACATCCCTGCACGGCGGGACATCCCCACTTGTGGCATCACTCGTATCACCTCTCAGATTCACTCGTATCACCTCTCAGACGCTGACCAAGTCGAACCGCTGGATTCAGCTGACGCCTCCTAGCCAAGCCGAGCTCCTCGAGTCCGCGCCAGCACTCCGCGCTGCCGCCAAAGCCGCCGAGAAAGCCAAGCTCGAGGCGCTAGAGCGTCAACTGGGCATCAACGCCGCCGAATCGTCTGCCTCCGCCGAAGCGGGGCCCTCGTCGGCATCCGGATCCAAACGCATCGCAGAGGTCGACCTGGAGGAATTGGCAAAGAAGAAGCACAAGTTCGAGGACTCCAAGTTTCTCGAGGAGAGTAGGGAGATCAACGATAATGTCCGATCGGCAGTCTCTGCGGGTGAGTCCGGATCCAACTTGGCTTTCAAGTCAAGCATATATCAATCCTGCCACTTGCTAGACAAGTCAGAGACCAGGACTGATAAACGTAGCTATGCTTTTGAAGAAGAAAAAGAAGGCAAAGGCCGACGCGGCCAATGCCTCCTCGAGCAAGTCCACAGTCGCCGTCGACGCCGCCAAGAAAGCAGAGAAGGACAAGGTCGCCATGCCGCCTCCTGCCGTCAGCGCGGCTTCATCGGCTGTG